GCTAGCTTTTAAGATCCCAGTCGCTACTCACAAAAGTAGGAGGTGGAACAATGTTTTGTATAGTATGTTATGCCAATTGAGTTTGATGTCCCCTGTGACCATGGTCCCAGGCCATGAGGTGGTCTTCTTGTGCAAGGTATTTGGAGGTATGTGGAGATGCCTGCTGCCCTGGTTAAGTTTACATTTTTATTTCCTTTGTCTGAGTTGTAAATCATCATTGTCTCAGAGGGTGATCTTTAATATGGAAGGTTTTGTGTCCTCAGATAAGTACAACTACAATTCACCAGGTTATAGTTCTAGGACCCATACTCGGAGCTGAATGATGATAGGTAAGGGTGACAGGTAAGGACTCCTGACCATTAAGTAGAACTGTTTATCTAAACTAACTAGAGACATGTCACAGGTCACAGCTGTTAGGAAAGGATATTCATTAACTTACTCAGTCTTGACAGTATGATAGGAATGAGTAAGCAAATTGTACCACTGTCATACTTCAAAATTTTAAGGCACGATTTGGTAAAAAAATATGGTGCCAATTTTCAAGAGGAAAAATGCACTAAGACTTCTGGCTAACATTTCAGTTTAGCTATGGTGTTTTTTTCTTGGAATGGATATTAGAAAAATATTTCAGTTTTTGAGCTGATTCCAGTGAAACTGGAGTAGGAGTTGGTAGAGGAAGGGTATGCTGAGGGACACAAGGCTACACTACTGTATCTTTATCCCAACACCCCTGCTCAAGACAAGAAGCTCTTTCTATTTCCAGGGTTGTATGCTCTCCATTACTTCAAAGACTCTTGTGAAGTGGACAGGGACTAAGAAGGGAGAAAGAAGAGAGAAGGCAGTTGCATCATAAGTATTGGGAAACCTGGCCTCTAGTTTGTAAAACCTCACGAATTGGCTTCAGAAACCTTTTCCACTAGAGGTCCTCACCCATTTAGGTGGGTTACTATACAGTGTAGATTTTTATATTCTCCCTTTTTTCTCATTTTTTTGGGAAGAGCTCTAAGCAGGGATAATTTCAAAGCTTTATAGATCATTATAGAGTGATCTAATAATTTGAATCTCTGGGACTGTTGTTGTTGTTGTTATGTGCTGTCAAGTTGGACCCGACTCATAGCAACCCCTCCTTGGGTTTCTGAGGCAGTGGCACTATGGAAGTAGATTGCCCGACCTTACTTTCGAGGAGTGGCTGGTAGGTTTGAACTGCCAGCCTTCTGGTTAGCAGTCAAGTACCTTAGCCACTATACTACCAGAGCTCCTCTGGGATAGTACAGCGTTTTCTAAAATAATACATCTCTTTCCTTTATGTAGCACCATTTGATTTTAAAGATATTTTCTTCCTGGTCATCACCTTTGATTCTCATAATACTTCATGAAGTAGATGGAATAGGAATTATTATCTCTAATTCACAATTACAAAACAGGCCCAGAAACATAGAGTGGCTTGTCAGAGACTGTAAGATGGAATGGCATGCCATGGGTTATCTGCTACATAGTAGATTCTAAATTACTGATTTTCTTAGAAAGTGAATAAGAAGAACCCTGGTGGCACAGCGGTTAAGTACTTTGGCTGCTAACTGAAAGATGGGCTGTTCTAACCCACTAGCTGCTCGGAGGTAGAAAAGACCTGGTGATCTGGTCCCATAAACTTTACAGCCTAGAAAACCCTATGAGGTAACTCTACTCTGTCCTATATGATTGTTATGAGTCGGAGTTGACTCGATGACACACAAAACAACAACAGCAAGTGAGTAAGCCAGAATCATTGTCAACACTTAGTACTCCTAACTCCTTGCTCTGAATTACTTCCAATACGTCATCTTGCTTCCCCTTTGTAAGATATTTGAATATGCAAATAATTCTTGAATCAAAGAGAAAATGCAATTTATGTGTTTTATATTATTTGGGCATGAGAAGGTAACAACAATAATGGCTGTGATTTACTGAATCTCTTTAAAGTGCCAAGAATGGTGCCATTTCATCACATATCAAGGAACCAGTAGATTTATAAAATTTTATTAGAGCTCTGTTCATGAAAAAATTAATGGCAGCTCTGATTAAAATAAGATGAATTCAACAAGTGATTATTTCAAGCAGATGAAATAATGCACAGGTTAATATATTATGATTTCTCAAAGGAGATACCTAATCTAGTCTTAGTTATAAATATTTAAAAAGTAAATCTAAATGAATTTTGTGTGGAACTGACACAAAGAATTTCAAATTAAAAAAATGATGAGCAAGGGTGTTTCTAGTTTGAGGCAAGTAAGCAAGCATTACTAACCACCCATTTATGAACCTCACCACTTATATGATGCTGGGAGATGTATATGTATCCATCTGAACAGACACACAGAATAAAAAAGTACAGGCAAGAAATGAAACAGCTTCTTTAAAAAGTTCAAAAAAACCACAAAAAACCAAACTCTCTGCTGTCAAGTCAGATCCATCTCATAGTGACCCCTCTTCGGGTTTCCGAGGCAGTATCACTACAGAAGTAGGTTACCCAACTTTCCTTCTGAGGAGTGGCTAGCGGGTTTGAACTGCCAGCCTTCTGGTTAGCCATCAAATGCCTTAGGCACTAGGCCACCAGAGCTCCCTTAAAAAGTTCAGGCCCTTGGAAAAAGCAATTTACGATACAGATACACTTTGAAAGGAGAAATATGAAAAACAATGTGGTCAGAACATGCTTGGGTGTTAGAATACACAAAAGGGAAAACAAAACAAAAACACATCTTGATATGTTTATAGCATTATGAGGAATGGAGTAAAATTATTCTGGACATTTGCATAATGAACAAAATTTTCCTATTGGAGAATAACAGAGTGGTGAGATTATGACAACATTATAGAATCATATAGCCTCGTCTTTCCATCTATTCATAACTCTTTGCAAACAGTAACTTTCTGGTCCTTACAGTGTCACTAACAGGGGCTGCTGAAATCTACCCACTACATAATTCCATGGAGAGAGGCCAGCTGAATTAAGCACCTGAATCCTCTATTAACAAAAACTGGAAGAAAACCAGGCTAGTCAATTAGCTCATTCACATAAATATAAGTAAATGATTTCTTAATGAAAATGACTACAAAATGGAGAGAATGATAGCAATTACTCATAATATCAGAATTTGTTGTTGTTGTTATGTGCCGTCGAGTCGGCCCTGACTCATAGTGAACTCTCCTTGGGTTTCCGAGGCAGTATCACTACGGAAGTAGGATTGCCCAACCTTCCTTCCGGGGAGTGGCTGGTGGGTTTGAACCACCAGCCGTCTGGTTAGCAGGCAAGTGTCTTAGCCACTATGCTACCAGAGCTCCCAATATCAGAATAGTAAATATAAATAAAAAAGAAAATTTGACCCAGATACTTACAATAGGAATGACAGAAACAATGAGTTGAAAGTTAAAAAAAAATAATAATAAAATAAAATAATGGGAGCATGTTCAGTGAGTCCTTGTTAGAGTTCAGGCTCACTACTAAGGAAATGTAAAAAGAAGCTTTCTTCGCCTGAGGCTGGACCATGGCCAACCATAGTGTTTCTCCTACCTCACGGGTCTGGCTTAACATTATTTCAGCTTTTTTACTTCTCCCCCTACTGGCCAATCCATTTGAGAGTGGCATACACTGCCTTCCAAGAAAAGAACAGGACAGAGTGTACATTAAGCTTCTTTCTTCTAATTAACCAGGACCAATGCTAAATAGCTGCCGGAAAAATTAAACATCAGGGAACAAAAAATCTCCTAATACTGAGACCTTTTTCAGCCAAAGTTCCTATTCTATACTATATACATGCATAATAGTCTCTCTCTCTGGCTTTTAAAAAAATACTTCAGAAGGATTTGCTATTATTATTTCAATCATGTCCAGTCTTTTCTATTCTCTCTCAATGTTCTGCTTCTAGAAACGGAGAATGAAGATGGGAGGATATATAAGTTGGTGGGGGCTCAAGACATAAAGGCTCACACTTATTCATCTCAGCATTAAAAAAATCCAGTCTCACCTCTCTCATCCATTCTCGAATTGTTTTGCCAGCTTCTTGATGCCACACATTGTGAACAGAATCTGTCAATGCCACAGCAGTTACTTTACTTTTTACATCTGCTTCTCGTTGAATCATCTGTTTTAAAAAAGGAAAATAAAATATTGGCTATAATTTTTTTTTTTCCTACTGGCACAGCCTGCTTAGTCATAGATAATAATAATATATCAAAAATGAAAACGCAATATGCATCTGTGGTTCTAACTTATTCTGAAAACATACTCTATTCTTACCCAGAGATGTGAAAGACCTAATATTTTCCCTTTAAAAAGATAATACTACTTAAGTATCAGAACTTCGCAGCTCTATTATTTTCCATGTGGTTTGACAATTCAAGGATTAAAGGGATCACAGGGGAAAAAAGGAGGAATCCCTGAGGATTTCTTTTACAAGTTTCTTCCACTACTTCGTATTTCAGTGCTTCAGGGAAGTCAGCACCCAGGGTTCAATGTTAGCTACTTAGGACTAACTTCTACTAATTTTCAGGAGATAGCACATCAATAAAGAAAGACATGTTACTTTCACTTCTCCAATTAAACTAGCCTGGCTCTTCACCATGTCCTTGTAATTCCTTGGTGTTTTAAATGCCCACAATGAACTTTCTCTTCAAAGCCTATCAATATCATTTTGCTTTCTAATATATTTCTTGATATTGATGAACTACTGTACTTGAACTTCTTTCTACAGAGTGTTATTTCTATAAAATTAAATGATTTTTAAATTAAAAAAAAGAGTGACTTGGCTTGAACATACTAAAGAATTCATCAATGGTCTGCAAGATAAAGGCACAGAAAAATAAGCAGACTACATTAGAAGAATAGAAAAGGATTTTAACCTACAGACTAGCACGAGTGACCCTAATGTAAGAAAGCATAATAAAAAATTACAGTTAAAAAACAATACATACTACTCTTGAATTTCATCATAATACCCTATTTCTTTCCATCAAATTTCTTTTCTCTTTCTAAATTGCTATCAAAGAAAAAGAGCAATTTCTCTATCATTTATTATTCATTTTTATAAATTGTCTACCAAAAATATACTGCACTTAAAAAAAGAGAGAGAGAAATCTGAATGGCCTGTGAAAGCTGATACAGAGAATACTGCAAGCAACACATGCTTCTGATACAAATGATGCCTGCTGGCATTCTGAATTAAACATCTCTCTCTTAAATTTCTTTAAATCCTGCATATGCACATCCCTTATCATTGAACCAGTACCATCATTATAGCTGGTGTCACCCTCCCATGGATCCCTTCCTGTACCAGACCAAACAGAATCCTTACTAATGCTTATTATCAATTTTAATCATGGAATAATACTTGACAAATACAGTTGTAAACTGCTTAAATGCAGTATTTCTTAGATTGTATGAATACTAACAACCAAATTGTTTTGTAAAATCTTTCTACATATTATTACAAAATTAATAGTTACAACATTATTAGTAACTGACCAGAAGCCTTTTTTGATTTTCCTCCTCCTTTTCCTTTAATTAAGAAGCTCTGGCAGCACAGCGCCTAAGGCACTGACTGCTAACCAGAAGGCTGGCGGTTCAAGCCTACCAGCTGGTCTGTGGAAGGAAGATGGGGCAATCTACTTCAGTAAAGATTTACTGCCTCAGAAACCCAATGGGGATCACTATGAGTCAGAATTGACCTGATGGCAGTGAGTGCGTTTTTTCCTTTAATTACTACTTCATTCTCAAAAAAGTTATTGACACAGGTTCATAACTATTAATTACAAAAGTATTGTAGCTAAAACACTAGAAAATTTGACAAAACCAACAACTATAAAAACACTGGCAGCAAGAAAAACAATAGAACATGCATGTGCAAAGGAAACCATGTGTTCTGGTTACCTAGTGTCGCTGTGACAAGGATATACTACAAATGGGATGGCTTGGACAAACAAGAGTTTATTCTCTTACAGTTTGGAGGCTTTAAATCTGAGTTGAAAGTGCCAGGCTCTAGGGTCTGGGTGAAAGCCCCCCAACCTTGGGCTTCAGCTCCTGGCCCACTGGAGCTAGAGGTTTTTCTTCACTCAGATGCTGCCTGCTGAGACTGACAAGCCCAAGATTGACAAGTAAAAAGGCACAGTCCTGATGTCCAAACCACATGGCAGGCCGTTAAGTCAAGTCCACTGAAAAGTCCCAGGATCAGGGCAGAGCATGACAGGCAATGACATGGCTACATGCAGGGTTCAAGTGTGCCATAAACTAGAGACCATTCCCAAAGCTGCTTCTTATATAGAGGAAGCAGACCACATATCCAAAGCAGCTACTCAGCTGCTCCAATAGATTCCACCATGGAGTTAATTACCCATCTCACCATGGGGAATAACGATATTCAGCTGTCCAGCTCCTCAACCAGGCCCAGCCAAGTTGACACACAAACTTAACCACCACACCATGTGATTTAAAGTGACACTGTAACTGGGTAATAATGTGCTCTGACTGCAGCACATTAGAAGGTTCAAAAAAGTAAGTTAGCATAGAATTTTGTTATAACTAAGGAGTGAATTAAGAGTATATTGCATTGTACAAATCTGCTGCAAAAGACCTCTTTAAAATATTAAAGAGCAAAGATGTCATTTTGGAGACTAACCCAAGTGATGTTATATTCAACAGCCTCATATGCATGTGAGAGCTGGAAAATGAATCAAGAAGACTACAGAAGAATTGAAGCAGCAGAGTTGCAGTGTTGGCAAAGAACTGAAGGTACCCTGGACTGCTAGAAGAATGAACAAATCTGTCTTGGAGGAAGTACAGCTGGAAAGCTCTTTAGAGGTAAGAATGGCCAGACTTTGTCTTTTGTACTTTGGTCATGTCAGAAGGGATCAAACCTTGGTAGAAGGTCAGGGAGAAAGGGGAAGACTCTCAATGAGATGGACTGACACAGTGGCTGTGAGGATGGGCTCAAGCATGGCAACGACTGTGAGGATGGCATAGGACTGGGCAGTGTTTCATTCTCTTGCACACAGGGTCACTATGAGTTGCCACTAACTTTATTCCATATTGAACAACAATAACAAGAAGCTTTGGTGGCATAGTGGTTAAAGTATTCAGCTGCTAAACAAAATGCAGGCAGTTCGAATCCATCAGGTACTTTGTGGAAGAAAGATGAGGCAGTCTACTTTTGTAAAGATTTACTGCCTTGGAAACTCTATGGGGCAGATCTACTCTGTCCTAAAAGATGGTTATGAGTCAGAATTGACTCAATAGCAGGTTTTTTTTTTTTTTTTTGTTATAACTAACTATAGGGATTATACTTTTAAAATTTTTTAAAAAATTATTGTGATTTGGGTGAAACTTTACAAAGCAAATTCATCTCCCATACAGCAGGTCACATACACGTTGTCTCATGACATAGAGTGCAATTTCCCACAATGCAATAGCTCTCTTCCTATTCTTCCCCATAGTTACCTCTTCCCTGTGTCCTTCCCTCCCATGCACTCTTACCCCATGAGCTGTCTCCCTGTGTATACACAGCCCTTCTATTCTCCCATGATTGATCTCTCCAAAGAGTGTATCTACTTAATGTAAATGTCAAGCTCATATGCCTGTCTTTTATTTGGCTGCAAGCCACAGAAGTGGGTTTACTTCCAGACTTGAAGGGCAGCTGGGGGCCATAGTCTCAGGGGTTCTGCTAGGCTCTGTAAGACCAGCAAACCTGGTCCTGTTTTTTTTTTTTTTTCTCTTTAATGATTTTGAGTTTTATTCCATATTGTCCTCCCACGCCATCCAGGATCTCCTACCCTCTGAGTGGTTAACAGTGGTAGTCAGGCACCATCTAGTTCTTCTGGTCACATAGTCATATAGGCTGAGGATCTCATGGTGGACCAGTCCCTTGGACTAATTGCTTCCATGTGTCTTTGGTTTTCTTCAATCTTCTTTGCTCTGGAGGAGGAGAGACCCATGTTGCATCTAGATGGCTGCTTGCAAGCTTTAAAGATGCCAGTCGTTACTCACCAAAGTAGGATATGGAACAATGTTTTTGTGTAGTATGTTATGCCACTTGAGTTGGATGTCCCCTAGGACTATGGTCCCGAGCCCACAGGTCCAACTACTTGCTCCTCCAGGTAGCTGTCTGTGGACAAGAAGTGACTACAACTTTGTCCCTTGACAGTTCTACTATATACCTGGAAATTCTTACAGAACATACAAATACACTTGTAGAAGCATTGCCTGCCAACCTATACACAGACATGGGCACACTCCTCCCTGCATACACATAACTAATCATTCAGCCTGTCCACCCATCTAGCCACCTGTATATCAATGTTTGCCTTCACTGACAACACAGTACTGTATGGGCAAAAGGGTTGATCTTTGTTGTCTGTACCTCCCACACACCTCTCTGTGTCTTCCTCTTCCTCAATGCTACCATGTTGGTCACTCACATTTGGTACATTGCCCTTCCCTTCAACCAAATAAGTACTTGTCTCTACCTGTCTTGCAGTGTTCCCTCCTCTTCCCTTCCACCTCTGGTAACCAACAAAGAAAATTTCCTTCCATATACAAATCTTTCCTTCACTTTTTACAATAACGGAGTAATATTGTATCTGTCCTGCTGTGACTGACTTATTTCACTCAGCATAATGTCCTCTAAGTTCATCCACATTATGCTGTGTTTCACAGATTCTATGTTATTCTTTAGGGTTGTATAGTTTTCCATTGTGCATATGTACCATAGTTTAGTTATCCATTCTTCTGTTGATGGGCACCCAGGTTGTTTCTATTTTTTGGCTATTGTATATAGTGCTGTGAGGAACATGGGTGTGCATATATTTGTTCTTGTCCTGGCTCTCACTTCTTTAAGATATATACTTAGTAATGGAATTGCTGAGTTGAATGGTATTTCTAATTCCAACTTTTTAAGGAATCGCCATACTGCTTTCCACAGTGGTTGTATCATTTGACAGTCCCACCAGCACTGAACACTTTCCCTTGTTACCCTCCCGAGAGGGACTGGGTCTCTGGGAGCAAGGTAAGCATGGGTGAGCTTGTGCTTAGTCACCGGGAGCGAGGTAAGCATGGGCGGGCTTGTGCTTAGTAACCGGGAGCGAGGTAAGCACG